TCTTTGCTGAGTAAATCTAAATCTTACTGACCTCAAACTTCTGACCGGTAGTGTACGTGAAACGCATCCTGATGTGTGTTGGTCTGTAATAACAGGAGCGCCCCGGCGTCGCCCAATCACTCGGGCGTTCTCTCCGCACACTCCAGCGCTGCGCAGACCCCCGACAGCTTATCACGGGAAGGCTCACCTGTTCCCATGGAGCCAGAGCCCGCCTCTGCCCCGCCCCCTGCTCCTGCCGCGGCTGTCCAACCCAAACTAGCCGTGATTCAAGAGGCCCGTTTTACCCAGAACACCACAGGTACTCAAACACGAATAAACAAGCACTCACTTGTGTTGATCTTTTACTCACTCGATCACTCGATGATCTTTATCGTTATTTTTTTTTATCATCTATATAATCGATGATGGTCTGATTTAGATAATAATATAATAATAGATATATAATTCTAGACTAATCAACTTTTTTTATAATTTCTCATGTTTTTATTTACTTATTTTTATTATCAAAATAATTACAGATTATCAGTATCTGTCAGAATCTGTGCGACTATATATTAGTTTACACAAAAATTGTAGACTACTTATTTAAATTTAATTAAATGTGATTTATTTATTTATTTGTTTGTGTTTTTGATATGGGCCTTAACAAAAAACAATTACTGATTATTGGCAGGGTTATTATAGTAAATTAAACCATTTAAGAAAAAATAAACTTTTTTTAAAAATTCCAAATAAAATAAAATTTAACTGAAAGAAAAAAATATATATATATAAAAAAAACTAAACTTATTTTTTGTAGTAACTTGATGTACCACATTACTGAATTGTTTTTTTTAACTGTACAGACATTTAAAAAAAATTATAAAAACATTGAACACAATTACTAAAACTTAAATTTAAAATAGAAACTGAAAATATAAAAACAAAACATTATTCTAAATATTAATAAAATCATAATAGGATCTCTGTGATACTAAAATAACACTGCTTACCGGTGTCTGTGCATCATTAGTGCATCAATTAGTTTGCATAATGTCACTAAGTGTGTGCTTGTTTTCTTTCTCAGCGTCTCCCATCACCACCCAGCCGGTTCTGATCGCGGTCCAGCGCTCTTTAACGCAGACAATCAAACCCGGCACGTACGCTGTGGCCGCCCCCGTCACATCCTCCACGTCTGCTCAGCCGCTGATGCAGACGGTGCACGTGGTGCATCAGATCCCTGCAGTGGCCGTCAGTACCGTTGGCAGAGCCAGCCTGCAGCCCGCCATCAAAGCAGAAACGCTGGAGAATGGAGAGGAGGTCAAAGGTGAGAGCTTCGGTCAAGCAGCTTGACCTGGTTTGAGTTTCTACAGATGATGTTAGTAACAAAATGTGTCCTTGTCTCTCTTCAGTGAAGGTAGAGTCGGTCCCCGGCATCAATCACGGCTCTATAGGCTCAGCCAATAGGATCATTCAAAGCAGCACTGCAGCCACGCCCCTCCAGACGGTTACCATAGTGCAACAAGCCCCATTGGGCCATCACCAACTGCCAATCAAAACCATCACCCAGAATGGCACTCATGTAGTGCCCATCGCCACGGCGATACAGAGCCAGGCTAACGCAGGTATTCATACACACATCTGATATCACATGAAACATTAATCATGTCATGCCAAAAAAAAAAAA